AGGGCTTTCGATCTTGGCGCCAAATTGATGTATCGATTTATTGAGTTCCCATCCGTGCACGGGACTTAATTAAGTCTCCCCTACTATTGTTTCCGGCGTAGGCAAGTATCTTGACGGTTGTAAAGTTTAACTCATAGGTATAAGCTGCAACGTACGATATTTCATTACCATGTCCTACAGCCAGCTGATGTTCATGCAGCTGCGATCCAAGCATGCATTCAGTTTCACCTGTTTAATTGCAAGGACTGTTTGGGCATGGGATGCGTTTTACTAGCGCCAGGTTTCTCGTTGGGTTTGAGCCGGTTTTGGACCTGCATCACCCTCTTGCATAAAGCGGGTGTACAATTTCAGCACCCAGCCCCACAGCGATGTTTTTAGTCGATTCTGGGACCTCCCTGACATATGGCAGATCATGCCATACTCTCGGTGATGATTCTGTTTGGGTCCTCCCAGGCTGAGCCCGTATAGAGATGCCGGGCGTCACGAAGCTTTTACCTTCTCCTTCATTTGTAAATCAATATTTGTTCTGCAACCACGAGAGATCAGCAAGCTTAACTAGAATGTGGCCAATCATATAGCATTCTAAATGACAGAAAAGGGCAGTGTCAGATGATAAATGTTGCAAAGATGTAGTACTGATCAAATGCAATACGACTTAAGGAAATGAAATTGTATCACTTTATATTCAGCAGAAGATGATAAAAGCATCACATAGGGACAAGGCATTTTCACGAAATAACGCAAAATTTCATATTCCAGGTGTTTGTATAGAAGGAGAAGGAGTTTCGATCACCCAAATCCTCCTCCCCCTCCTCTTCGCCCCCCCCCCTCCTTCCTACCACTTCCCTTTAGCTGTTGCTTACTTTTCGTTGACGGTTTAACTCTGACGATGCAATCCCGCAAGATCCCCAAAGCTCATAAGAATGCAATCACTATTCCGGTGATCAAAACACCATTTTCTTCTATATAAGTCTTTTTTTCATATATCACAGGATTCGGCACTAAACATTGCGTATTTTCACACCAACTCCTCAGTCAAACGTTAAAAGTTGAAGCTAAATTCCACCAGTACCTGCATGCCTATATACAGGAATCATTTCAAAAAGCACCTTTGTTTCAATTGCTAATGAAATCCTTTAATTAAAGCAAGTTGTGCGAACGAACCCGAAGGCTTGGTGGAATTTTTGAATGCCGGCAAGTTTTACACTCGGCAAATTATTCCAGTATTGCGGCTAACACTCATTGTCAAACCTTATGCTTCCTGGAGCGAAGTCTTATGCTTTCTTCTTCTTCTCCGTTGCCTTTAGTCAAGAAAAGGCTTCAAGTTGCTCTGGTTCCCAGCAGAGAGGGCAACATATACCCGATCGAAAACACAACGAATGTTTCCTGCATAGTCCGTTACGATAACACGAGTGCGGACAGGATACCGCCGAAATTAAAGTGTGCTCTGAAGGACAAAGGAGAAGTTTTCTCTAAAATACAGGGTTATACAGTCAATGGCAGTATCCTAGTTAATTCCAATGCAGAACGAGTAAAGGCGGAAATTGATGCGGAAATCATGGAGGATGGCGGGGCATCCAGTGGACTCTCCACGAGAAAAGTTAAAATATGGTTTGCAAGTGAGTCTCTCTTTAATATTTGCAGTGGCAATACACTTTGCAAGTTAAGTTAACGTCTCGAAATTCGAAACGTCTTCTACCTCTATGAATCTATGGTATGTGACACAACTTTTTCTACGTTATTCACTCACAATCGATGCATCGTTAAATATAGGGTTTGATTAGATGATATTTTAAAAGAACTGATCATCAACCGGCATCACTCAGAGTAAATTTTGTTATAGTACCTCTCTGGTATTTGAATGTAATCTGGTAAGCTTCTACTATGGGGTCCCCACGATACGCGTGCAAAGCGCGCTCCACTCCAATAGGGGCTCCTGGTTCTAGGGGACAGAATAAATGGGGCATATTGGCGGACAAATCAGTGCGCAATAATCATGTAAATTAAGAATATTACGCGCGTAAGTTGGGGAATGTTCGCCGACCTTGGGCG